ACTGGGGGATTGTTAGAATTACGAAGACACGTAGCAGCTGGACCCGCCGGTGGGTCCGTAGGGTTCTAGGGGTTAAAGCTAATTTGGTTTGAATAAAAAATGTAATTATCAAAATTTGAGCAAACCACCGAACAAAGTCAGTGTTGAGAAGTATTTTCTCCTAATTCATACTATCTTCATGAGTGGCGTTGGCTGTAAGAGACAGGCTCTCACTCTAGAGGTTGATGGTTCGAGACCTGTCTTTCTCTTTTGAAAGTTGCGATTAAACTTAATTATTTTGGCTGATGAGACTAATTCGCATTGTTTTGCCCGAGTAAAAATATAGATTGGGAAAATTAGGTTGGTTTAGTCAAAAGATTGGTTGAACACAACTTCCAACCTGAATAAAACCAAAAAAAAAGTTTATTTCACTAAAATGGCAGAAAAACGGTGCACCTTAAATGAGTGTTCTAGGAAATTTTACACTTAAAAAAAACTAACATAAGATTTTATTATACACACCAACCATTAACAATTCCAAGGGAACTTAAAAGGGGGAAAAAAGAAAAACAATTGCAAAAAAAAATCACAGATTTTATTACAAACTGTGGTTCTGCCCTCCACCAGTAGGTGGTGACATGTTCACATGAAGTGTGGGGATCGTTGAAGCAATTTGGCCAAACGGTTCAATGCCTCATGAGGCTTCATCTCACCATCACTACCTACAGGCTATCAGAAAACATCAACATCGAATCCTGTGGGTTTGATGACATTGATATCCAATGATTTCTGCCACTGGTCTATCCGTTTAAAAGGCGCTCCACTCCTAAAACCTGGCAGCGACGAGAGGAAAACACTTCTTCTTTGCAGGAATGTTACAGGCTGCTTTTCTGTGCATGCTGCCACTCTCTGGTTGATTCCAGTACTGCACATTTTACTCAGATCAGCGCAGAAGCAACCGGGGGCTGTAGCCCAAGTAGCCGCCCCCCCCTAGATCATCCACTGGTCATAATTATCTTTATTTCTACCATAGAAATGTTTTGGAAGCACGGCTGTAGAAAATTCAGCCATGTTTGTTTTGTTTCCTTGCCTTGCAGTTCGATGTGAGCGAGAAAACCTACTTCAAGAATATCCTGAACAGCATAAAATTCAACATCAAGCTGTCCATCAAGAAAATACATGAAGAAGTGGACAAGACAGCGTGAGTGTCCGCCGTCCTCTAACGCCCCCCCCCCCGCTGGCCGCTGAAGCCTCACATGTTCAACATGCCTAACATGTGTTCCCAGAAACCGCCTCCAGCTCGCCACGCTTACTGATGCGCCTCTGAATTAAACAAACTGATCCTAAATCAGCATAAACAGCTGCAGAAAATCCATTTGATGTACTTATCTACAGCAGGCAGGCAGCAGCAGAGTGCTGTGGGACAAACGCTTCGTTTTTCTATCCCGACTGAGTGCCTCTCTGTTATGACAACGCATTACGACCACATTAGCATTCCAGCCTGCTTGACACAACAGTATCATTAGCCCGCGCTCGCATACGGCCTCCTTATCGCCAAAACACGGACGTTCCATCACTCATATTGAAATGGAAGCAGATCTTCTGGTCGCCATGGCGTCGGTCCTCAGGCCGTGAAGAGCCATCAGTCTCTCAGTCAGAGCGGGCCGTCTCTGTCTGTCCCAGTCAGTCATGGGGGGGATCTCTGCAGATCGATTCTAGCAGCTTTAAGTGGATTACCATAAAGGAGGCGTCCATGTTTGGTATGCAGAGCGGCGGCGGGGCCGGGGCCCCTTACAGAGCCGGGGTTTCAGGGATATGTGGCTCTGACTCCGTTTGCTGTGTTTTAAGTGGATAGAAGGGATATTGTCTCTAAAACCTCTTTTCTCCGTTTCTGTTTCCCCCCCCAGGTGGCTTCTCCCCCCGCAGGCTCTTAATGCCTACTACCTCCCCAACAAGAACCAGATGGGTGAGTCTCCGTCACTCTGACTCATAGTGCAGAGCGCACACACACGGTTAGACACATGACTTCACATGCTGAACATGGCGGCTTCTGAAGGAAAACAAACAGACATTTCCTCACATAACGTCTCCCACCGCTCACCTTCTACTGAGGCTGCATGGCCGAGGCGCCGCTGGAGGAGAAACTAGCAGCATCGCTTTCCTGAGCTTTAACACCCCCCCCATCCCACCCCCGCCTTCGCCCAGGGTCGGCGTCAGAACAAACTTTGCAGGAATCAATGTTTCCTCTTTCTTTCTTCCTTTTATTGAAATTTTTAAAGGAAAAGTCCGGTCAGGGAATGATCAATGGATCATTATTTATATCAGTAACAAAATAAAAACAATCATTTTCCTGGTGATCACTGAGTCTGGGAGCGGCCATCTTTGCCCAAATATAGTAACCCCTCCCTCCTGCCATCTTCTGGCAGTGACGACACGGTGCGGTAAGCCTAGCCTCCATCAGGGAGGCGTGGCGCCCTGATGGAGGTGGGGCTCCCTGATGGAGGCGTGACACGCTGATGGAGGCGGGGCTCCCTGATGGAGGCGGGGCTCCCTGATGGAGGCTGGGCACCCCGATGGAGGCATGACACCCTGATGGACGCGTGGCGTCCTGATGGAGGCGTGGCGCCCTGATGGCCCTTTTAGCAGCTAATCTCCACGGACTTTTGATTTTTGTTTGATACAGTGATGTCATGAAATGGGCGGGGCTTTGCTTTAAAGGCAAGTGTTTCTCTTTGGGACTCCAAGAGAAAAACTAATACTTCATAAGAAATTAATACAAAAATCAATTTAATCTTAATTTGAACTAAAATAAAATAAATTCAAACTAATATCTAATCATAAGAGTTGGCTTTAAAGGGAGGATTTTATTCTTAATTTACCTCCTGCTGACATTCAGGAAAGCATTTAGAGTTAGGATGGGAAATGTTCGCCTCCATGACTCTACCTTCATTTTTCTACATTAAACTGATTAAATAATCTCTAGTTTTTAATGAGAGACTCATCAGGTTAACTTTAGTTTGATGGACGGATGAATTTCTTATTTATTTTTAGATAAATAAACCAGATTAAGACTTTCTTTCATTTTCTAGTTTAGTTCGTATTTTCTGCTCCTGGATTAAATGTCAGATTATTTATAGAGATCTGACTGAATGAAATCTGTTTTTTATTTGATTAATAGTTTTATTCTCTAACAGAAAGGAAACTGATTTCTAAGCTGATCAATCCTGATGTTTGTTTGTTTTTTCTTTGCTTATTTGTCTCCCAGTCTTTCCTGCCGGCATCCTGCAGCCCACCCTCTACAACCCCGAGTTTCCTCAGTGAGTATCCCCTCTGCCTCTCTGCCAGCGAAGGTCGTTAAAGCCAGCGTTAGTCTGCTGCTCCGTCCGTCCCAGCACACCTGATTAAACCAGTTTAACTACCCACCAAGAGCTCAATTAGCCGACTCAGCCCCCCTAATGGAACGGCTGTCATTGAAAGGTTGTCTCCCTAAATCTAAACCTGTCGATGCCTGAAAGCAGATCCTTCCTGTCTGTCTCTGTCTGTTCCAACTCTCTCACTTCTTCATCACTGAGAAGATTTTAGTCATAAAATATTAATAAAGTACAGAAATATTGGCCGTAACAGTGAGCAGCGTTTAGTTACAGTCAGAGGTTAAAATAAAATAAAACAAATGTTCCTTTAAGGGTCTATCAGAGGGAGAACTATCATCATTACTGCTCAATCAAGGAAATTCCCTTTGATTCGTCTGCAGGAAGCAGGTTTTTGTAATATGTAAAAAAAAAAAGGCCAGATTGTGAGTTTGTTGAATAAACTGATTATATTTCAGAGCAGAAAGTCTGAGTTCTGAGGCTGTGAGGTTTTCATTAGTTCATCAGACGCAGCCTGTGGC